TGGCCACAGCAGCGGCTGTGTCAGTGCTTTGTTACATGAAGTGACCGCGTATTAATACTCTAAATCCGTTTATAAAATAAAATCGTTTCTGCTGCCACGCTTGAGAAGGCGCCTTCGATGTTTTTGTCTTTTTACAGTCAGGTGTTTGTATGTCCCTGGGTTTTTCTTCCCCTTATCTGTTGTTTTGGGCTCAGTCTCAGATAATGGGAACTGCCTGTGGCATTGTGTTACTTCTCTGCTTTGTTTCTGAATGGTCTTTAGGCTCTGAAGTGGGAGTTTCTGTGTTGCTTATAACCATAACAGCCATAACTCTTTCTAGGTAGAAATAACTGTTGCAAGCTCATGTAAGTATGTCCTTCAGAGAAAAAATAGGTTAAGTGCTGTAGTTCTCTGTTCGAAGTATAGAATCATAGGATGGTTGGGGTTGGAAGGGACCTTTAAAGCTCATTTGGTCCAACCCCCTGCAGTGACAGGGACATCTTCATCCAGACCAGGTTGCTCAGAGCCCCGTCCAACCTGACCTTGAATGTTTCCAGGGATGGGGCTTCTACCACCTCTCTGGGCAACCTGGACCAGGTTCTCACCACCATCATTGTAAAAAATTTCTTATATCTAGTCTGAATCTTCCCTCTTTTAGTTTAAAACCATCACCCCTTGTCCTGTCACTACAGACCCTGCTAAAAAGTTTGTCCTCATCTTTCTTATAGTCCCCCTTAAGTAGTGAAAGGCTGCAGTAGGGTCTTCCCAGAGCTGCCTCCCATCTTTGTGGCCCTCTTCTGGACCTGCCTCAGCAGGGCCATGTCTCTCTTGTACTGAGGGCACACTTCCTCTTTCTACCCTGTGCAGCTGCTGTTTGTGTAAAGAGCTTAAATTTCCTCTAACTTCGGTGCATTGACTCACAAGGGAAATCCCTGAAGTGGCAGCTCTGCATGGTGAGAAAAACTTTCTCTTGAGTGCACACATAGGAAATTGGGAGATGTTTAGGTGGAACCTTGATACCTGTGATCATTTAGCTACTCAGCAGGGAGGCTTGGTTTTTTATTTTCCCCCTTTGATTGATTCTTTTAGGCTTTTGCATTTTCAAAAGCAATTTAGTCTGTAAGGAATTTCTTACCTTTTAATGGAGGGGAGCTGTGTCAGTTGAGCCATGGTTTAATTAACTTTGAAAGATTTTTTTATTTTAAACAAAACTCTGAGCATTCACTTATGAGAAACCCAGTTTTAAAGGTGTAAAACAGTTTCTGTGAAATTTAAATATGTTTTTATGCAGAAATGTTGTGCAGCTGGGCAGATTTGGTGTGTGATTAGACTCCATTGAACATACTCCCTTTGATGCACTTAGTGATTGTGAACTGCTTAAGTGTTCTTTTTCATTACTTAACGTGTCACTGTTGTGCTACTGAGGTCTTCTGAGCAATAATATATTTTTCTTTTAATTTTAGATTGTTTCAATGATTTATATGCTTCCTATGTCATCTTCTGTATCCTCCTTCTGTCTGTGGTGATACTGGTAATAAGCATCTTCAATGCTGAGTTTTATGCAGGTGGGTTATGTAAATTGCTGAACTGTCTGTTGTACCTGAATTAAATAGGATAACCATTTAAAGAGATTTGTATTTACATTTGATGTACTTAACGTTGTTAGATTTCCTTTTAAATTAGTATACTTGATACACAAAGCTTATTTTACGTAAATCATCCCAGATTCCTGCTTTCCTCATGGCTGAGACCCTCTTAGCTGAGCCACTTCATTAATTTTTTTATCATTTAATTACTAATTCCAACTGTGAAAAGTTCTTTGGTGACAATGGGGTTTTTTTGTTTGGGTATTTTTTAAATGAAGGGATTTATTGGTAAGTAATGAAAATTCATTTTTGGCTTTTACTTGCAGTTGTGCCTTCAATACCATGCTCTCGATTAGCACTGATAGGAAAAGTTATTCACCCTCAGCAAGTGATGCATTCGGTTGCTCATGCTGTCATGGGAATGCTGGTGTCTTGGTGCGCTGCAGTTATGACAAAAGGGAGGTTCCAGTTCCTTGCTGTGCCCTGCACACCTTCAGAGAGGTAACCATTTGTGTGTGTTAATGATAAATTATGTGAAGAACTTCTGTTGTAAAGTGTATTTACTGATGGCTTCTTTCAAACAAAAAACTAAAACTAGAGGACTATCAAAAGTAAAAAAAATACATGTTGTTATATTTTATTAAAGGATAGGAAATACCCTCCTCTGTAAATGTTACAATGCATGGAGAAATAACAGGCAGAGAAACTAAACTGCCAGGATTCCTCATGGGAAGTGACAAATTGTTTGTCACTTGAACTAAGTCTTGATGTCCTGGTTAAGGTGACATACTTCATAAACACGGGAAACATCCTCATGCATCAATTACAAAGTTAAGTGGTGGGACTCCTACTTTAGAAAAAGCTTACTGAGGTATCATCATATGTACTGATCAGGAAAACAAAATCAGACTCATGATTTGCACTTCTTAAGGCTAGAATGACTTTTTTTTTTTTTTTAAACTCAGAATTAATTCTAAGTTTTTGATTTTAGCCTAGATGATGCTGTTCCTCAGATGTGCCTGAATGAGTATCACCTCTTTTTTCTACTTTCTGGAGCTTTCATGGGATACAGTTATAGTCTTTTGTATCTTATGAACAATATGAATTATTTGCCATTTCCAATCATACAGGTAAGAGATTTAAACACCTTTGCAGAAAGACCTGTCTAAGTAAATAAAAAAGCCCTTTTTTTTTGTTAATAAGGCAGCAGCAGCTGCTTGTTGGCATGCTTTCTCTAATAGATAAAGTGTACACTTCAGGAAAGAAACAGTATACACAAACTGAATGTTAACTTCAGGAACTGACAACAAAACCTAACAACCTAAAAGCTGAAAATCCTGAGAAGAAGAAAGCATATTATCTGTTGTAACTCAGTACCAGATAATTTAAAGTCTAAATAGCACATTAATCTTGCTTAAAGCTCAGCATCCAAAGCTTGTTCGTGTGTGTAGTGCTGTGAAAACTGAAATGCCATTTATTTCATTGGAGGGGGCTCCAGCAGCCCCACAGAAATGTGCACCAACCCAAAATGGTGAGGAGTGGCTTGTGAAACATCATCTTCTGTTGCTGTAGCCTCACAGCAGCCGTTAGCTTTGCATGATTCCCAGGTTTACAAAGTCCAACCAGTTTGGCAAAAGGTATCTTTGGACGAGGTTATTATTGGAAAACATTTAAGTTGTGACCATTCAGTTTTTCAGCAAAGCAAGCACCATTTTGGCAGTGCTGTAGTTAAAGTATTTTTAAAAATTCTATAATTTTAATATTGTCAATTCTCTCTCTCTGTTTTTTTTTTTAATGCAATTTAGCCAAGTGCAAAACTAAATCACTTTGATTTCATTCGTATGTAGTGTCAGATGAGTTGCTCTGGTCATTTGGAATGAAGTATAATTGTTTTGTATGAAGAAGGGCATCAGTATTACACTGATTTAGCTCCTTGGAGGCTTCTTTGACTCTGTAACTCATGCTTGTCTGAATTTTCCCTGTATTTTAATGGAACTCTTGTAATCTAAATGAAAACTAGTAGATTAAATATGCTGGTTTTGGTTTTTTTTTGTTTACTTTGCATTAGACAACATTCTTCTAGTTTGTTCCCCTGTGTATAGAGTCAGTTTACCTCGGTGTCCTTTTTCCTAGTGTCACAGCAGGAACAGGGGTGAGCATGAGTGACTATTATAAAGAGGCAGAAAGAGACCAGGAGAAGAAATATAGGTGTAACATGTGGAATTGCCATAAACTAATCTTTTAACAATAATCTGGACTTCAGGTTTTCAAGTATCTTGTCCTTTTTTATTATTATTATTTTTTGTAACCATTTCATTGACTAATTCTGAATGTGGAATACTAAACTAGATTGTTGTTTGGTTTTTAGCAATACAAGTACTTACGTTTCAGGAGATCTTTGCCTCTCCTCGTCAAGCACAGCTGCGCAGAATCGCTGTATTTTGTTAGAAACTTCTCTGTTGCCTATTACTTTTTTGGTAAGTGTTCCTGAAATTCTCTCTCTTTTTTTTTTTTTTTTCTTTTTCAATTTCTGTATTTTGAAAAGTTTATTTTTAATCAGTCAGGCCTGTTACACAATTTTTCAGCCTTCCACAGAACTTGCTGAAGGCAGATAGATTGTTTAAACAAATAAAGATCTGACACTTCCCTAAAAAGGTGAGAAAAGGCGTGGGGTTTATATAGTGATATTTGCATGGTGGCAATTCTCACAGGTTGTTTAGAATATGAGTAATGTCTCTTCTCCAAAGAGATTTAACACCTTCTTGAAGACTTTATTGTCTAGCTGATAACATTCTAACAAGATGACAAGTACTGTAAGGAGAAGGGAGTGGGGAACAATAGTTTTCTAATCTGGAGTCTGTGTTTGGTCACTGTACCAAAACACAGACTGTTGTCTCTGGTGATCTCTTCTTTGCAGGAAATCTTGTTGCAGGCAGCTGTGAAATAACTTGCTTATAAAAGGAGCTTCCAAACTCTATAATCAGCTGATGGTTTACAAGTGTACCTTTTAAAACCTGATACTTGGGACACTGTTTACATACCCATCCTGATTTGTGGCAAAAAGATTATAAAATAAATAAGTAGAAACATTTAATTGGCTTAGTCTGTAATTTATATTGATCTGCGGAATCAAACCTTACAACTTGTAGGGAGTTATAAAGCAGGGATGTTTTATGTATTCCCAAATATTTTTTTAACATGTGTAAAGATCTTCGTGCCTTCGTGCTCCTTCCACCACCTGGTATTGGAAATGGAGCATCACAGAGCTGAACCTCACGTACCATCAGTGGGCGTGACTTCACTATATGTAATGTTGCTGTATTTTCACTATTTTTAAAGTAAAAATTAGCACTTTGGCTTTATTCTCAAGTGCCTTTTATATTATTTGGAGGAAACTTGGGAGACAAAGGCCGTATGGCTCCCTCCCAAATGGAACTGCAGTTTGGTCTTTAAAATGATTGTGAAATCATCTGTGCTGATGAAGGCGATTGCACTGGACTTTCTAAAAACCCGGGGTTTTTTTATGTTGCAGTTGTAGTTATCCTCCTACACAACGTCAAAATGTGCTAGAATTATTCCCACTTTATGTACATTAGGGGATGAATTAGAAGTACAGTGGTTCTTTATCAGCTTCCATGAAGACTTTAAAAGCACTCTGCTACTGCTTGAGCTGTGGTGAAAATTAACATTAAATTATTACTGAACCTCTTTTGTTAGTGAGGAAACACAAATAACTCGATGCTGAGAAGTAGCAATAAAAGATAAGGTCTACATATCTCAATGTACAGCTGCTGGCCTCAAGCTTTTTTTCATTCTCTTGTTTCCATTTCTTAAAAAAAAAACAAACCAAGAGGCAGATTGTTTCCTCGTGCACGTGTGTTACAAGACCAGTCTCTTGTCTTTATACATGCATCCTACTCTTGTCTTTTTGGCTTATTGTGCATGTGTTTTGCAGTGTCATAGTTGTTTCAGTGGTTTGGGTTTTTTTGGTCCCCTAGGTTATATCCCAAAGGTGTGGATAAGTACCACAATGGATCTTCGTATAGACAGGTAGGTACTACCTTGTGCTGAAAACTTGCAGAAGAATATTTCCCTTTGCTGCTGCCTTTGAAGAAATCCAGCTTAGCAGTTGGTTCTTTGTGTGTGGTAGGACTTGGTTCCTTGCCTCTGCACACAGAACGTGGGGAGTGTCGGGTATTTCTGAAATGGATCCAGAAGGAACCAACATCCCCTTGGAGGAACCATCTTGTAGATAGTCATTAAGAAATACTCTCAGGTTTCCTTCATCTTCATAAGTCTCTAAATATTAGAAAGGCAGATCTCCCCAAATCTCATACAGGTGTGTTATCTGCTTTTCTGTGTTTTGGGGGGAGGCATATCTTTGTTTTTGTATGGCTACCGTTTGTTTTAAAATAGGGAAACTGAAGTCTTCATACATTCATTGACTAAAACTGTAATCGTTCTTATTTATTTAATATTTCTTTTCCTTAATTTCATTATTTTTTCTTAACTTCATTTCATCATAGTTACTGAAAAATCAAAGAAGTGGTATCTCAAACATCTTTAAGAAACTTTTTTTTTTTTTTAAAAGGCAACTTTATTCTTGCACTTGTTGCTACTGTAACAGCTCATAATAAAAATACTTGTATCTTCTTGGTTGTTTTATCTGCAGTAAATTGCATCCCCTTGACTCCCTGACTGGCTTATTGGATCTCTCCTTGTTTTACCATGCCTGGTTATGTGGTGTATTTCTTCTGATTACCTGGTACATTGCATGGTTGCTCTTCAAAATCTATGCTACAGAGGTTAGTACCTGGTGACAGTGCTAAAGGTGTAACATTGGTGTTTTGCAGGTGCTACTTTCTTTTCAAAAGCAGTTTTACTAGGAAATAACTTAGGAATTCTTGAGTTTTCAAAGCCTGTGCCACAGATAATGTCTGATAACTGAACAGCCGAGGCCTGGGGGTTGACTGGCCTTCCCTTTCTCTCCCTATAGCACAAGCCTACACTGCTTACAAAATTTATGGGTTTACAGCAATTTGCTTTGTTATTTCCGCCTCCTCTTCTTACTCCTCTACTTCTGTTTCCATGTTTCCCTTCTCCTGTTCTTGTTTGCTAAATCCACGCAGATGCTGTTGGGACCACCCTGACAAAGAACCTCTTTGTGTTTCAGGGAGTCTGTACCGTGTTCTTTGTCCTCGTTAAGTGTACGGACAGATGAGCCAGCACAGGGCCCATGTGTGTCTGGCTGAGCTTACTAGCTTGGTCTCTGCATGTGTTTCTATGCAGTGGTTTTGTATTTGAGTATGAGACTAGCTGAAGACTTGTGACAAACAGCTACAGGTTACATGGGAAGATAACATCCAGAAACTGTATAGCTCTCAATCCAGTTTTACAATACGACAGAGAACAAAATGGTGCCAATTTTCTGTAAGCTAAGCTCTAGAAATCTCAAATTCAAGCAAACCATCAAAGTACACAGTTCTCCAAAGCAGAGACATGTTAATCTAATTCAGGCTGCAGTATTAAAATAGACTTCAAGCAATCTTGGGAATTAAGACACTTGCTCTTTTTCATTCCATCATTTTAATTCAGAAACTAATATGGCTAAAAAAAGAGTGTTTAAATATATAATGAATGGTGTTAGAATAAATGTGAGACCGTGATTGAAGAGGAAAAAAAAAAAAGTCTTGCCAACAAAGAACTGGAGAAGACTTGATCTTTATTGACTAATCCAGATATTTCTTTGTAAGAAAAGTGTTCATCTAACTTGATTTTTTAAACATTACTAGACTGCAGATTAGTAGGAAAAAAAGCAAAGTTTCAATCCTGGCAAAACACTGGCAAAACATGAAATGGCATACAGTGCTTGTTGGAGTATTAGCTCTAATTAAAAAGGTCTAGTTGTTGTGACTGCATGGAGAAAAGATTAAAAATGAGTCAAGCCTAATTGATGTAATAATGTGTCATAATCTGTAGACAGCTCCAGGTCTGAGGTGCGAACAACCTTTTTCAGAGGATAATAGTTGAAGCACTAGTGAACACTGCCTGCCAGTGCCTGTAATTATTGTATTGTCTTCCACAGTTTTATAAAGCAAAAGAAACATCCTGTGAAGGTATAAAATGGACCTTGCCCTTTTGACTGTTGAACAAAAGCTTTGTTTATCCACATTTTTTTTGAATGAACTAAAAAACTTCCAGAGCTGTTTGTAAATATTTGCCTAGTGTTAACTGAAAAGTCGTGAAAGAAACTGTAAACTTAGTCCACCTGAAGTCACTTTACTAACAATTTGAAAGCAATTGCTATCTCAGATTTCAATTTTGCAGTTGGAAACAGAGGAGAATAAATCTATGATGTGTAAAATGAGTGCAGTAACACACCTGACAGGGAATCTGTGCCCAAACTAGTCCATGTTAAATAGTGTTAGAGATGCAATGTTTGATACAATTTAATCATTGCTGTTTACGTTTTAAATGTTGTAGCCACAAGAACAGAAATTCTGTTCAAACAGAGAATATAAATATAATGGTGATAAAAATAAGAATTCATTAGTTTATTAGTGAAACAGTGCACAAGAAGAATTAAAAAATATTTTATTATTTGGTAAAAGAACTCTCAGTTCTTCACCTGAGTGGTTAAAGAGAAGACATTACAGTCTAGATTTCAATCTTGTTTCTGAATGGTGTCACTAATTTTTCCCCTGGGTATCTGGTTAGAGGAATTTATTTGCAAAATGATATGTTGCCCCAGCTATGAATTTGAAGATGAAGCTATCTGGATTTTCTAACATTTTACAGTTTTGAACGTAAGGAGTTTGTGTTTCTATCTTAGAAATGTCAAGCTAGTTTACAGTAAGTTGAAGCAATGGGGTATGTGCTTTTGTAGCTCATCATTCATCTGGCAAGTACCAGCTTGGGTGTGGTCTTTCATGAGGTTTTCTTGTATTTCGCTCTGTATAACACAACTTCTGATGTTTATATTTAGACACATCATTTTCCTATCCAGCCAACTTTTGCTGAGGAGACAGACCAGTGCCTGCCTAAAATCTTAAACAGCAACCCTCCCCTCATTATAAAGGTAATGGAATTCCCACGGTCTTTCCAGCTAGGCATGTGCTGAGAAGGTGTTTTTCAAAGCATGTAATAGATCTCCTGGGTAGCAGTTATTTGAGCGGAGGTGCTAGTGCTTTTCCACGCTGCCTGGGAACACTCCCAGGAGGCAGGTACTCTTAGTGGTGAAAATTTGTTTAGTAGTGACATCTGCTGGTGGCCACCACTCTGAGTTCCTTTGAGCTGGAGACAAACTCGGTTAGTTAGAGGTAAGATCTGTTTCTCTACAACATAGGCACATTAGTGTGTACTGATGCAAAAACAATAGGTTGGTGACATTCAGGGTTTTTTTAACTCTTTGAGTCTTGTCAGAGAAGCAGGTGTTTTGTCAAACCTCTGTACACTCTTAACTGCTGCTTAGATTTGAGTTCTTACCTGTGAGTTCTCGCTTGAAAACTAAAAAAATTATTTCCATATTCATGTTGGAAGTTGGGTTTCTTTTTTAAAAAAAACAATACTAAAAAGGTATTTAAAAATCTGGGGGTAAAGAAGAGTAATTTTGATCTGACTATGGTAATAATTAATGGGATTTACTGATTATAATACTTAGAAATTGGAGACCTAAGAAGTAGTCCGTAAATAATGATGAGTTTTCTCCTGCACGTTCAAAATCCACATTTACTGATATTACAGATCTCTGATAAGACTGGAGATATAATAGTCTGCAATCCATTTGAATCCTTTTTTAAGCTTTGATGCACTATCAAAGGATGGGTGGGGAGGAGTTGAGCACAGCACAGTTAAAGGCAGAGGAAGCCTAATTTATAATCCCAACCATTACTAAAGTGCCTCGTTCTTAACTGGGTCTTGCATAGTGTGAGAAATCTGGTTATTTTTGGTTTGCCACATTAACTACTTAATCACATGAAAAAGCAGGTTTAGGTCTGGTACTGTATGGCATACTGTGTAGTTGAGCTCTGGTTGCAAAAACCATCTTTTTCCTTAGACTTTTTTGCATCTTGGGTTCTTTCTGTCTGAGCTGTTAGCCGTTAAGATAGAAAATGGTGTTAGATCTTGAACTCCAAAGAAATGACTTATCAGTAAAGTTCTCTGAAGTTCTTACTAACTCAGCAACCCCATCCAGAGTGGTTCTAGGGATGTGTGCAGTCATTTGCCGCCTTTCTTTTTCTGTTACACGGCAGGTTTTAGTCTGTGTGAACTCATTCTTTATTAGGGATTGCTTTTGTATGGATAACTACATTTTTTAAGGAAATCTGTTGGACTTTGTGTGCACTAAACCATTTTCCTTTCTTTGTAGTTTTTAGCCTTACAAGACTTGATGTTACTTTCCCAATATTCTCCTGTTCGACGACAGGAAGTCTTTAGCCTTAGTCAGCCAGGTAATTATAAAAACTATTTCATGTTGATTCTTTTTTTTTAAAGTGTTAGTCAAATGTTTTTAGAAGTTATTTAATGCTGTGAGGCATGCTATGTAAGCCAGAAGACCTCGTAAGTAAAAGTATCTCTATGATGCCTTTTCCCAAAGGATACTTAATTATCTATATTCATATTGTTTCATCTACTAAACTTGACAAATTCTGGTGCCTGTTGTTTGATTTAAATGACGGACACGAGGAAACACAGGTGTCCTCTTGACACCCCCAATCAAATAGTCCAAACTGAATAATCTAACAGATGGGTACGAAAGCTAATGTTCAGATGTGGATGAGATGAAATCAGGCATAAATAGTGACTCACCACTAGAGTGGTGAAAGCAAACAGTGGCTGTAATTTAAATTAGTATTCAAGCCTCTTGCTATATACAAGTATGGCAGAGAAGGTCAATTAAAACTGCTTGAGAGCCTTCAGGAACTTCTTGTTACACCTCATCAGGAATTCTAGTGTTTGTACTACTTCAGAACTGTTTACCGTCACCATTTATACAACTTTGTTCATTTGAGTTGTTTAGTGATTTCAGATCTGATGGGCTGAACTGCTTGCAATTCCTGCTTGCCTAGCAGGCTTCACTGAAGTCTTTGTACAGAGTTATCCATTGATGGGAGGATAGAGTCTGGGTTTTCATCTTCCTCTCAGTACAAATAAACTGTCACAGTGAAAAGGCACTGTGTCTTTTTAGAGATGGAGCGGTGCTGTCATCTTTGAAGTTTATGCTGAGACTACATGGGCACTGTCAGAATAAATACAAGGATGAGCATCTGGGTTAAACATACCTACTGCATTTGGTTTTTTTGCATGCTGCTAGGTGGGCACCCGCACAACTGGACTGCAATATCGAGGGAGTGCTTGAGTCTTCTGAGTGATCTGACCCGGAGGCTGATCGCACAGCAGGAAGCTGCAGCAGCAAATGGGAGAGCAAAGCAGCCAGCAGGAGAGCTGAAAGTATCTCCACAGACTCCAGGTATGTGAGGAAACGCTCATAACTGTTTGTAAAGCATGAAAGTACCAGTAGATTACACAGGTACGTTAATCTCAATTAAGTGGGATGAGGAAATTAATTGCAGGGTTTTCTGCAAAGAAATGCAAACCTAAAAATGTCTCTCCTTCCAATTTCATTTTAAGTATTCTTGTTGAAAGAATCCCAAAATAACTAGAAGACTTGGAAAGATCATGTTTACTCAGTTTGTTTACTTTGCATGATGTTATGCGAAATACAGTATTTTTTCCACACTTGCGTGAATTTAAGAAAGTGTAATTATTACAGTTTTAGTAAGTGCTTGAACCTGGTACAGGGAGAACTTAAGTCTTGTCAAGAGATGCTTTGTAATTTGCAGAACTGCTCTTATGATTAGTTTAAGATGGTAAAGTTAGGTTTTGGTTTGTTGTTGTGGGGACTTTTAATAGGTTTGTGTGATTCACTGATATCACTGTAGAATAAGAAAAGCCAGTCTGACTCTTGAGCTGTGTGCAGCCTGCAAGCATTTCAGGAGTTTTACCTGCCAGACTTATGCATCATTCCTGGCAGCACAAGGGGTGCCAGGTAATTGACTCCTTAGCAGTCAGTGCCTGGGATACAAGTGCCCTGGGAGCAGCAGGGGACTGTTGGTACATCAGAGGGGAATTTCTTCAAGTGCTGCTGCTCCTTGGTTTTTGTGACTGACGTGCCTTTTCTTATGTACCAAGCAGAATCAGAAAGAATTGCCATTCTTCTATAGGTAGCCTTTTTTCTAGTACTTAATCCCAAAAGCATGCTCTAGGCAGTTATATACACCAGGGTGTAGTAATTCTAGCTAGCAAAAGGAGAAAAATAAATAAATCCACAGGGATCCTTTTCATCACTTGCTGTTCTTAAACTGGTGAACTTCTAAAACATTTCATGCTCATGCAGATGTGTACTTCTTTGCAAAACTATAGTGGAAACAATGTCCTTTAATGAAAGGTCTAATGATAGGTTGTTGAAATAGCAGCCAAATAGCAAACCCATCTTTTTACTTCATATGTGCCAGCCTGTTTGTCTTCATGCAGTGTGTTCTTTGTCATTAGGAGCTGTTGTGGCAGAAGACATGTCTTTCCAGTCACAGAGGTCTAATGTAATTCCCAGAGCCTCCATGTCTTCACTGGTTAAATCGTCACTAATGTCTTTAAAGACATCGCCTGGGTCTGATGTTAATTCACCTTTCAGCTCACCTGCTGTAAATTGCAAGATGGGAATTCTGGATGTAAGCTCTCCATGGCATGGATCAGTCCAAAGTCCTAATGTTAGGAGAAGGGGACCAAAGCTATGGACATCAGGTTCAGGTAGAGCTTTTTCCACAGCACTGTTTTTAGCCTTGTAGTCATAAGTGTAGCAGGCATGTCAATAACAGAAATCTGTATCTTGGGGATTAAAGTGACAGCAGCCAGTTTTTCTGAAGGTACTGTATTTCTCTTGTAGATCTGCAAATGAATGGTTCCCACCATGAATCCTTCCCAGTGCCCTCTGCTGCAAGAGTTGGCAGTGAGGCAGTACAGCCAAGCTTTATTTACACATGGCTTCAGAACAAGCAAGAACAGGTAGAGTAAAAGTTGCAGTACAGTTAGGTTGCAGCCAGTGCAGTTCAGGTGTTCTCTCTTCTGAAAGAACTTTCAATTTTTGTTAATGAGTAGTTCCTTCTTCAACTAGCTTACATAACAAAAATCCTTCCCTCAATCCCTTTCTACTGTGAGATGATGGTAGGGTTGAGGAGGGCCAGCTGTGCATGCCTTCAGATAAGTACAGATTATATTTTAAATCTTTTTTTTCTTTCCAGATAAAAAACTTCTTGTCAAAGCAAGTGCTGATAATGTATTTCTTCAGCAAGGTAATCATGATCTTCCGTTTTGTGACTGAGCAGCATGGACTAGAAATGCATGAGCATGGGTTCTGCTTTGGCACTATGTACCTTTTGCTTATAGTAATGGTTCAAAAACCTTTCTTGTAATCTAAGGTTTTCCATAAGTACAACTTTGTACTTATTGTGAGTTTTATAGCAGGAATATTTCATTCCTGCATAAAAAAAGAATAGTAATACTTGTTTGAACTCATCTGATTATAAACTGCATTTTGCTTAAAGCATCATGTACTAGTAAAACACAACTGAGAACTGAAATGCAATTGCCTTGGCATACTAATTGCAAGATGACGTGGTTTCTAGTTAATGTAAAAATTCAGTTAGCTACTTTTTGTTAGGTCAGTGTACCAAATGATTTCTTTATAGTTTTCTTTTGTGGGAGAAGTGGTAGCTAGAATGTTGGGAATTTCTCCTTATGAGATATTGGTACTAATATTACTAGTACTTTTCAGGTGAACTTGAACACTTAAACTAAATTTGCATAGTGTTTACGCAGAAAAACAATTGGATATTTCCCTTAGTATAACTGAACAATAACTCAGTTAAGTTTTACAGAAGCATCCCCCCTACTTTAGGCCTTTATTTTTTAGCAATTTAAATGTTTCCAACAAGTAGAGATTATATTTTTATATGCAGATCTTTTCTGTATGTGATAATGGTTTATGTTACATGTACAGCAGTTTTTTGATCAGTTATAGACTGGGGCAAGGAAGATCATGAAATAGGCCTGGGAGAATTGTTTTGCCCATTTAGCCTTTGAAAACTAGTTAGTTAATATGCTTTATTTTCTAGAAGTCCCAACCATAGCTATAGCTTTGTGGGCAGCTCCTGTCCAAAAAGAATTTTGGTTTCTTAAAAGATAAGATTTTTTTCTGGGTATTCCCCGAGATCTGTCAGCCTCACCAGTCTTTCCTGAGGGGAGGGACATGACCCCATCAGATGTGTAAATACTTTAATTGAAACATGCAGTTTTGGTGATATTATTATAAAGTGCATTCAGAATGCTTTGATTTCCTCTCAGCACCCAGAAGCCTCCATCCAAGCTGTCTTCTCTGATGCCCAAATGCACATCTGGGCTTTGGAAGGTAAGCAGTTTCTCTTCCCAGGTGTTCCACTTCATTGACACATGGAACTACAACAAAAAGGATTTGATTACAGGTTTCTGGGGCTCTGTGCTTTATAAATGTAATGGAAGAATGATCTTTGAATCTATTTAAAATGGAACTGCATTTCAGATACCAACATGAATAAAGATCTAATTCACTTGTTGGCTTTGAGATCCCATGCGAGATCTCTTAGTTTATGTTCTGTAGAGGTTTGGTAGAGGTTTCTGAACTTGATGTCTGGTGCTTCTCTCCAGTATGAACCCATGTATCACTTTAACTTTTTTTCTCTTTCAGTAACAGCTGGAAGAATGATCTTTGAATCTATTTAAAATGCAACTGCATTTCAGATACCAACATGAATCAAGGTCCAATTCACTTGTTGGCTTTGAGATCCCATGCAAGATCTCTTAGTTTATGTTCTGAAGAGGTTTGGTAGAGGTTTCTGAACTTGGTGTCTGTTGTTCCTCTCCAGTATGAACCCATGTATCATTTTTATTTTTATTTTTTTTTTTTCAATAACAGATTTATGATGTGTCTTTACAACAGCTTTTCTGATTAAAGGCTCTGTATCTTTCTCTGTTAATCAGGGAGAGTTGAGGGAGGGAGCCACTCGGGTAGTAACCTGAAAAATAAATAGAAAAAGATGATCTGCAGAGAATTGAAAAAAACAATGACTCTGTGGTTGCACTATGGCATTTTCTTGTTTGTTTTAAAGTCATGAGCAAATACTGGTGTTGACAGAATCTTTTATTAGATTTGTCTGTGCAAAAGGTGATCTTTTTTCCTAGGTTAGATGTTTTATGGGCAGATATGCCAGGCTGGGTCAGACTGAAGGTGATGAGTTGGGTCATGGAGAGTCAGGAGATGAGAATCACACTTATGGTTTGCAGAAAAGCAGAAGATACCATTTGTGTTTCATCTAAGGGCAGAGGACTAGGATGTAATTTTTGAAATTATGATAAACAAGTAAAGTTAAAGAAGGGATTTAAAGCTAAATCAAGGTTTCCGTCAAGGTAGTTGAGAGTTCTCCTCATATGAGCTGAACAAAGAAAGTTAAGTGATCTGGAGATGTTTGTGTACAGCTAGAAGAATTGTGAAATAGGTCCTGTCTCTTGGTTGATGTCAGGTACAGCTCTGATCAGAGCAGCAGAAAGAGGGAGCCAATAATTTTTAAAAATGTATTTTATATATAATTTCCCTTGCCTTATCGTCAACCTCAAACTATTGTACACCTGTCAGACCAGTGACTGGTTTAGTCCTGAAGCAAGCCAAAGCTGAGGGAACTGTCACCTGGCTGCAGTAAGTCCTGAGGAATTCCACCACACTAGTAGGATCTTCAGGCAAAACCATGATATTTGTTAATGCTTCAGAAGATGAATTTAGGAATTATAGCAAACTATAATTACTAAATATAATTTAAATATATATAAAT